GGGAGCACATGTATGTCATGGCATGCATGTGGAGGTCAGAGGACAACTTATAGGAATGGGTCCTCTCCTACTGTGTAGGTCCTGGGAATCAGTTCCAGGTAACTCACATTTAGGAACGATCATGTTTCCCCTCTAAGCCATTTCCCTTGCCCTGGGAATGAATGCATCTTACAGCAACGATTCCAAATATGAAAATGTATAGAAACCCATTAGGAAGGGCTGGAAAGAGCCCTCTTGTACTCAGAGGACCAGAGACAGATTCCCAGCACCCAAGTACGGCAGCCCATGACTCCCTGTAATTCCAGCTCCAGGGGATTTGATGCTGTCTTCTGCTGATATCTGGACTCACTCACTCATCTGTGTGGGCACAGGCAGCTATTTTTGGAGGGAGGGGGTTAAGACAGGGTCTCAGCATATAACCTCAGAGAGCCTAGAAGTCAGAGATCTACCTGTCTGCCTCCTGAGTGCTGGGATTAAATGTTTGCTCCACCATGCTCAGCTAATATTTAAAAAAAAAAAACAGGCTGAAGAGATGGCTCAGTGGTTAAGAGCACTGCTTGCTCCTCTGAAGGTCCTGAGTTCAGTTCCCAGCAACCACATGGTAGCTCACAACCATCTGTAATGAAATCTGGTGCCCTCTTCTGGCCTGCAGGCAGACATGCAGACAGACTACTGAGAATACTGTATATATTAGATTTAAAAAAAAAAAAAAACACGATTAGTGCAATCTAAATAGCTGCACATGGTGCATATGTCTACAGTCCCAAGATTTGGGAGTCCAGGTAGGAGGAACAGGAGTTGGAGGCTATCATTCGTTGTGTGAGGTCAGCTTATGCTAATGAGACCTTGTGTCCTCCATTTAAACGTCTAGAGGACTGATACAGGGATGTCGAGAATGCGTCAGATGGAGGGCAATAGCCTATATCACTTCCTCACAGACTATGGAGGAAACATATTAATCCCGCATTGTGGATATGAAAATGTATCCAGGAATACTAAACAACCCAGGCTAGCTAATAAACCTGTTGCTACAGGCAGCTTTGTAACCAGAGTACTCCTGGCTCTCAAGTGTGTGGTCTTTTTACATTATCAATGACAGAACATGCAACCATTGAAAACAATGTTTTTAACTGGGCAAGTGGCTCATGCCTGTAATCCCAACACAGGGGAAGCTTAGAATCATTCCTAGAACCCATAGGAAGTTTGAGGCCAGCCTGAACAACATAACAAAATCCTTTCTGAAAATAAGAAAGATTAAAAACTCCTATTTTTAAATAGTTTGTCAGGCAGTGGTGGTGCACACCTTTATTCCCAGCATCTGGGAGGCAGAGGCAGGTGGATCTCTGTTAGTTTGAGACCAGCCTGGTCTACAGAGTGAGTTCCAGGACAGCCAGGGCTACATTGAGAAACCCTGCCTCAAATAAGACAAAATGGTTTATAGTAGGGGTTGGAGAGTTAGCTCAGCAGAGTAAGAGCATATGCAGGGATTCGAATTCCATACCCAGCAGGTATGTCAAGTGGCTCACAAACAGCTTTTATTTTTTCAACTAAAAAAATATTTTAATTGGGGGTAGAGAGGAAGGGTGGGAGGGAGAACTGTGGTTGGAATTTACATTCATTTTACAATGAAATTAAAAATGAATAAATTATAAAAAAATCTTTATTTTGTGTGTATGAGTGTCTTGTCTGTGTGTATGCATGTGCACTGTGTGTGTGCCTGGTGCCGGCCAAGGCCAGGAAGAAGGCATCAGATCTTCTGGAGCTGGAGTTGCAGACAGTTGTGTGCTGCACTGTGGGTTCTGATAATCAGACCAGGTCCTCTCCCAGAGCAAGTGCTCATTTTTGTTGTTGGTGGTATTTTTTTTTTGTCATTTTTAAATAGATATTTATTGAGCTCTACATTTTTCTCTGTTCTCCTCCCCCCTTCAAACCTCCCCGAAGGTCCCCATGCTCCGAATTTACTCAGGAGATCTGTCTTTTAATACTTTCTACTTCCCATGTATCTTCCCATATATCTTCCCAAATATCTGTAAGTCTCTCTTAGTGTCCGCATTATTATCTAGGTTCTCTGGGATTGTGGTTTGTAGTCTGGCTTTCTTTGCTTTATGTTTAAAAACCACCTATGAGTGAGTACATGTGATAATTGTCTTTCTGTGTCTGGATTGATGACAAAGGATGTTGAACATTTCCTTAAGGGTCTTTCAGCCATTTTAGATTCATCTGTTCAGAGTTCTCTGTTTAGGTCTGCACTCCATTTTTTTATTGGATTATGTGATCTTTTGGTGTCCAATTTCTTGAGTTCTTTGTATATTTTGGAAATCAGACCTCTGTCTGATGTGGGGTTAGTGAAGATCTTTTCCCATTCTGTAGGCTGTCCTTTGCTTTACAGAAGCTTTTCAGTTTCAGGAGGTCCCATTTATTAATTGTTTCTCTCAGTGTCTGTGCTGCTGGGTTATATTTAGGAAGTGGTTCCCTGTGCTAATGCGTTCAAGTGTACTTCCCACTTTCTCTTCTATGGCTGGTTTTATGTTGAGGTCTTTGATCCATTTGGACTTGATTTTTTTACATGGTGATAGATATGGGTCTATTTTCATTTTTCTATATGTTGATATCCAGTTATGCCAGCACTACTTGTTAAATATGCTTTCTTTTTTCCATTTGATATTTTTTGCTTCCTTTTCAATGATCAGGTGTTTGAAGATGTGTGGATTGATATCCAGGTCTTCTATTCAGTTCCATTGGTCCTCCTGTCTGTTCTTATGCGAATACCAATCTGTATTCAGTACTGTAGCTCTGTAGTAGAGTTTGAAGTCAGGAATTATGATGCCTCCAGAAGTTCTTTTATTGTACAGGTTTTTTTTTGGCTATCCTGGGTTTTTTGCTTTTCGAAATGAAGTTGAGTACTGTTCTTTTGAGGTCTTTGAAGAATTTTACTGGGCATTGCGTTGAATCTGTAGATTGCTTTTGGTAAGGTTGCTATTTTTCCTATGTTAATTCTGTCTACCCAAGAGCATGGAAGATCTTTCCACTTTCTGGTGTCTTCTTCAATTACTTTCTTCAAAGATTTAAAGTTCTTGTCGTACAAGTCTTCCACTTGTTTGGTTAGAGTTACTCTGACATATTTTATGCTATTTGTGGCTATTGTGAAGGGTGTTGATTCTCTGATTTCTTCCCCAGCCCTTTTATCATCTGTGTACAGGAGGGCTACTGATTTTTTTTTTTTTTTTAGTTAATCTTGTATCCTGCCACATTGCTGAGAGTGTTTAAGAGTTGTAGAAGTTCCTTGATAGAATTTTTGGGATCGCTTATGTAAATTATCATATCATCAGCAAACAGTGGCTTCTTCTTTTCCGATTTATATCCCCTTGATCTCCCTTTGGTGTCTTATTGCTTTAATTAGGCACCTCAAGAACTATATTGAATAGATATGGAGAGAGTGGACAACCTTGTCTTGCTCCTGATTTCAGTGGAATCGCTGGGAGTTTCTCTCCATTTAATTTGATGTTGGCTGTTGGCTTGCTGTATATTGCCTTAATTATGTTTAGGTATGTTCCTTGTATCCCTGCTCTCTCTAAGACCTTTATCAAGAAGGGATGTTTATTTTGTTAAAAGTTTTCTCGGCATCTAATGAGATGATCATGTGGTTTTTATTTTTCAGCTTGTTTACATGGTGGATTACGTTGACAGATTTTTTTTTTTTTTTTTTTTTTTTTAATTTTCGAGACAGGGTTTCTCCATAGCTTTTGGTTCCTGTCCTGGAACTAGCTCTTGTAGACCAGGCTGGCCTCGAACTCACAGAGATCCACCTGCCTCTGCCTCCAGAGTGCTGGGATTAAAGGCGTGCGCCACCACCACCCGGCTGACAGATTTTCATTTGTTGAACAATCCCTGTATCTCTGGGATGAAGCCAACTTGGTCATGGATGATGATGATTCTAACATGTTCGTGGATTCGATTTGCTAGTATTTTATTTAGTATTTTTGCATCGATGTTCATGAGTGAGATTGGTCTGTAATTCTCTTTCTTAGTAATGTCTTTCTGTGATTTGGGTATCAGGGTAATTGTAGCCTCATAAAAAGAGTTTGGCAATGTTACTTCTGTTTCTATTGTGTGGAATAATTATAGGAGTATTGGTATAAAGTTCTTCTTTGAAAGTATTATGGAATTCTGAGCTGAAACCTGGGCTTTTTTTGGTTGGGAGACTTTTGATGGCTGTTTCTATTTCTTCAGCAGTCATAAGTCTATTTAATTTATCTGGTCTTGATTTAATTTTGGTAAGTGATATTTATCCAGAGAGTTGTTCGTTTTCTTTAAATTTTGCAATTTTGTGAAGTACAGGTTTTCAAAATCCTCTGTATTTCCTTCGTGTCTGTTGTTAAGTCCCCCTTTTCATTTCTGATTCTGTTGATTTGGATATTCTCTTTCTGCCTTTTGGTTAGTTTGGATAAAGGTTTGTCTAATTTGTTGATTTTCTCTAAGAACCAACTCTGTCTCATTGATTCTTTGTATAGTTTTCTTTGTTTCTATTTTGTTGATTCAGCTCTCACTTTGATTATTTCCTCCCATCTAGTTCTCTTAGGTGAGTTTGCTTCTTTTTGTTCTAAAGTTTTCAAATGTTCTGTTAATTCACTAGTGTAGGATTTTTCCAGCTTCTTTGTGTAGGCATTTAGTGCTATAAACTTTCCTCTTAACACTGCTTTCATTGTGTCCCATAAATTTGGGTATGTTGTGTGGTCATTTTCATTGAATTTTAGGAAGTCTTTAATTTCACCCTTTATTTCTTCCTTGACCCATTGATGATTCAGGTGAGCATTGTTTAATTTCCATGTGTTTGTGGGTTTTCTGGAATTAGTATTGCAGTTGACTTCTAGTTTTAAACCATGGTGATCTGATAAGGTACATTGGGTTATTCCAATTTTTTCCAAAGTTTTAGTGTTTAATAATTAAGATAACTGACAAAGATGTAAAGATACCAAGTTTGAGAAACTGGAGGTGTTGGGGGGACACTCTATGGACTATGCAGGCTGTGATAAGAATGCATGCTTTAAACCTGTCGACACATAATAGTTGCAGAAAGCCACTTGGTTTTCTCTTGGCTTGGGAAAAATGACGTTCTGGATTCACCGGGAGTATCAGCAGCCTTCAACTCTTCTGCGCAGTAGGAATCTTGTTTTCGCCTTCCAGCTCTTCCACTCCAGCCTGGGTCATGAGGTCAGCGATATTTTTCTCCAGGTTGTCCATGCGACTGCTCATGTCATCGATCCATCCAATGATCTGGTCGGACATGATCTGAAACTTGTCTTGCATCTGTTGCAGGAGCGTCTCCACCACCAAGGTGATGTCCTGCATGGTCTTGGGGTCCGTCTCAGCCATCTCCCCGGTGCCCAGCTTGGCGGCGATGTCTCGGAACCGTCACCTACACTTCGGTTTCTTCTCCAATTTTTTTTTTTTTAAATATTTGTTGAGGTTTGTTTTGTTACCGAGTATGTGGTCAGTTTTTGAGAAGGTTCCATGAGGTGCTGAGAAGAAGGTATATTCTTTTCTGTTTGGATGGAATATTCTACAGATGTCTGTTAAGTCCATTTGAGTAATAACATCTGTTAGTTCTCTTATTTCTCTGTTCATTTTTGTCTTATTGACCTGTCCAATGGTGAGAAGGGAGTGTTGAAGTCTCCCATATTAGTGTGTGGGGTTTAATGTATGATTTAAGCTTTAGAGGTGTTTCTTTCACGTATGAGGGTGCCCTTGTATTTGGGGCATAGATGTTCAGTATTGAAATTTCCTCTTGACCGATTTTTCCTGTGACTAATATGAAATGACCTTCTTTGTCTCTTTTGACTGATTTTAGCTTGAAGTCTATTTTGTTAGATATTAGGATAGCTACACCTGCTTGTTTCTTAGGTCCATTTAATTGGTACATTTTCCCCAACCCTTTACAGACAGACAATATCTGTCTTTGAGGTTGAGATGTGTTTCTTGTATGCAGAAGGATGGATTTTGTTTTTGTATCCAATCTGTTAGTTGCGTCCATTTACATCAAGGGGCATAATGACCAGTGATTGCTATCTCCTGTTTAGTTTTCATCATTGGTGATGTTAATTTGTGAGTTTTTTTTTCTTCTTTGGGATTTGCTGTTATGAGGTCATCAATTGTCTGTGTTTTTGTTAGTGTAGTCATCTTCCTTGGGTTGGAATTTTCCTTCTAGTATTTTGTGTAGGGCTGGGTTTGTGGCTAGGTATCGGTGAAATCTAGATTTGTCATTGAATATCTTATTTTATCCTCCTATGGTGATTGACAGTTTTGCTGGGTATAGTAGTCTGGGCTGGCATCCGTGGTCTCTTAATGTCTGCATAATGCTTGACCATGACCTTCTGGCTTTCATCGTCTCCAATGAGAAATCAGGTGTAATTCTGATAGTTCTACTTTTATATGTTACTTGGCCTTTTTCCTTTGCAGCTCTTAATATTCTTTCTTTACTCTGTATGTTTAGTGTTTGATTAATATGTGGCAAGAGGACTTTTTTTGGATCTAGTCTATTTGTTGTTCTGAAAGCTTCTTGTATCTTCACAGGTATATCTTTCTTTTGTTAGGGAAAGTTTTCTTCTATGATTTTGTTAAATAAATTTTCTGTGCCTTTGATTTGAACTTCTCTTTCTATAGCTATTATTCTAAGATTTGGCCTTTTAATGGTGTCCCATATTTCTTGGATATTTTGGGTTAAGCTTTTGTTAGCTTTAATGTTTTCTTTAACTGATGAGTCTATTTCCTCTATTGTATTTTCAGTGCTTGAGATTCTCTCTTCCATCTCTTACATTCTGCTGTTCATGCTTGTGTTTGTGGTTTCTAATCATGATTTCTGTTTCTATAATTCCTTTGGCTTATGTTTTCTTTATTGTTTCTATTTCAGTTTTCAAATCCTGGATAGTTTCTTTTATATGTTTCATTTCTTTTTCTTAGTTTTAAGTGATTTGCTGATATCTTCTAATTTTTTGTTTGTCTTTTCCTCAATATCTTTAAGGGACTTTCTCATCTCATCTTTAAGAATTTCAAATATTCTCCATTTTCTTCTGTTTCATCCATATTTGGTTGTTCAGGTCTTGCTGTTGTAGGGTCTTTAGGTTTTACTGGTGTTGTGTTGCTCTTTGTGGTGTATCATGTGATCTTACCTTTTCTATTTATCTTTTCCTCTAATGGGTGTGGTTGGGACTATCTGAGATTCTGTTGGATAATCTTTTAGGTGCCAGTGAATCCAAAGCTCTCATTGTTGTTCCTCATGGTACAGTCAGTATCACAGTTCTAGTTACCCCATTGGTTACTTGGTGTTCCTGGAGATAGCTCAGTGCTCCTGTGTCCTGATCTGCTCATTGGTAGTTTGGTGTCTCGGGCCTACTTTGGCCTAGGTTGCTGGCTTTGTCCTGCTTCTGTAAACCCTGGTCTGGAGCCCCTTCTGCAGAAGTCCCTGGCTTGGAGTTGAACCTCCTGTTCTGGTGGATATCGCTGACTCTAGAGCTGGTCACTGGCTCAATCCTGATCCGCCAGTGTTCTGGGACTGGGTTGGCTCCTGGATTCTGCTCGTGGTGGAGCTATTTGCTCTGTGTCCTAGGTAGCTGGTTCTGTCCCACTCCAGTTCTGGTGGAGATTGCTGACCCTGAGTCAGGTCGCTGGTTCAATCCTGGTCTGTCAGTGTCCCAGGGGTTAGGGGACTGGATTTGCTCATGGCTTCTACTGCCCCCTCCCCTTTTTTGTTTTTTCAAGAGATTTTCTCTGTGTAACAGACCTGGCTGTCCTGGAACTCACTCTGTAGGATAGGCTGGTCTTGACTCAGAGATTTGCCTGCCTCTGCCTCTACGTTCTGGGATTAAAGGTGTGCGCCGCCACCACTGGGCTCACAATTACTTTTAACTACCAGGGATCCAATACCATCCTTTCTCTAACCTCCAAAAACACCTGCACTCACATGCACATAATTTAAAAAAAAATAAATAAAATCTTGGGCTGGAGAAATGGCTCAGTGGTTAAGAGCACTGACTGCTCTTCCAGAGGACCTGGGTTCAATTCCCAGCACCCACATGACAGCTCACAACTGTCTGAAGATAGAGTTCCAGGGGATTTGACACTTCACACCAATGCACATAAAATAAAAGTTAAATAAACCATAAAAACTAAAATCTTTTAAAAAGCTAGGCTAGTATAATTACTTCCAAAGCTACAGAGAAACCCTGTCTCAAAAAAAAATTTATATAAACGCTGAGAGAATAACCTCGGGCAATATTTATTTACTATCATGTATACAGCCTTGTATGCATGTGCCCCAAGACATGTGTGATAGGCTGACCTGGGGTGTCTTATTCACTCTTCTCCATCTGTTTTGATAGCACCACACCCAGAGCATGTCATTCCCTGGAATGGCAGACTAGGAATCTTCAGGGATCCTCTGTCTAACAAGCACAAGCCACAGTCCTGCACGTCTTATGTGGATGTTGGGAACCTGAATTCTGTTCCTTGTGCTTGTACAGCAAGACTTTACCAGTTGAGCCATAACCCACTCCAAGACAGGATTCCCCCTACCCCCAGAAGCCACACTGTATGCAGCTTTATTAGACACTTTCCACAAACAATGATGGTTTTCCAGGCAGGACATGGGCAGACAATCACTAACAGTACACAAGAGCTTCCAAACTCCTTTCTTGTACCGACTACCAAAACCAGAAAGCCACTATTCAAATGAGTCTTCATTTGATGTTCTGAAAGGGGGAGGAGCTTAGAGTGAGGGCTGACATTTTACACTGAGGATGTCTGACAATTTTTCACAAGTCAACCCTGACTTTCAGGTAATGAAATGAAAACGGCAGAATTATCAATTTGAAGATCCACAATCTTTTAGAGAAGGAACCGCTGCTCTTTTGAGAACACTCAATGATGTTATCACTGTCAAGTCCAGATTGCCCAATAGACTGGCAAAACCAGCTTTGGGGGTCAGGTTCCGACGGCCTCCGGTCTTACGGGAGTTAAGCATATGTTGACCGTAGAAGGGGAGGATATAAAAATGAATTTAGTTTTCCCACAAGATAGGATTTTATACACGGAAGAAACAGGAACTTAAGTACATGATTCCTTTCCGAGAGAAGGGTGGACTATTCATTTTAATTTTAACTGTATGAGTATTTTGCCTGCATGTATGTGTATATGTACACCATGTGCATGCATGATGCCCATGGAACTGGATTTAAACGGTTCTGAGCTGCCCTGTGGGTGCTGAGAACTGAACTGGGTCCTCTGGAAGCACAGTCATAACTCTTAACTGCTGAACTATTTTTATATTTTATTTCTTTCATGTACGTTGCAAAAAACAGACTCCAAATTACAGAAGGAACCAATATTAAAATATTTATTAATTCAGCATGTGAGAAACTTAATAGTTATGTTAATATTGAACGTCTTAGTTATTCCTTTCAGAATAATGAAATACAGATTGCACAGTTTATATACTGCAATAAATATGATTAGTTAGTAGCAGACTCCAAACTTCCTCTTGTTTCTGAAAAGGTTGTTTGATTTACTATGATCCACCAAGAAATACCTAAATGGGGGAAAAAACAGAAGCATAACCCATGAGTATCAGGCCCCCATTACCATGATTATTACATTTACCATTTTTCTTTTCAAGACAGTTTTTTTTTTTTTTTTTTTTTTTTTTTTTTTTTTTTTTT